GATTATAAATCTTCAGTAGATCTGATGTTTGAATTGATGATTTTTGGAAAAGTCTTCAAATGACTGGTGTAGGTGGTGTTGATGCACAATGTGCTGTTGTGTGGAGGTGCTAATCACCAGTAGAAGACTGGGCTTCATTTAAGGCCATTCACCCAAGGCCACCATCCCTGCGTGCTGTCCAAGTGGACCCAGGGGGGCTGAATACTTACCACTCCCCCAAGTGACCTTTTGTTAACACCGCAAGGTTGCCCAGGTCACCCGAGAAGAGTCTGAAGATGTTTCTCTATGAGGCTTACTCTGGCTAATCCAGAGACCAGGCTCCCTAGGACCCCAGATATCTCCAGGGAACAGGAGAGCCCTTGCCCAAATCAGCTAGGAGTCAGGAGTTACAGTTGGCCATGAACTAGTCATTGCCTTCTCCTCACTCCCTGCTGATTTGCTCCAGAATACTTCCAGTCAACATCCAAGGAGTACCATGAATTCAAGATAATCAAAGAACTCACCTGAATGTGACTAGAAGCATTCAAAGAGATATTCCTGACCTCCTTCTAATTACTAGAAATGAAAAAAATTTAAGAGGCCAGGTCGAGGTTCAGTCTGGCGGATATATCTCTGTAGATATATCATTCTTCTACCAAACATCTCCCCTAAGGCAATGCAAGAACCAAGCAGACATTATCCTTATCAGGGATAACCGTTGGGAGCATTACCCTGAAGAACAGGAGATCCTGGCCTATTGACCAGGTTTTGAGTCACAGCATTTCGGCAATGGTGATGACCATTTGTTTGTTTGTGTTTTTCTTTGTTCTTGTTTGTATATTTTTATTCAGAATTTGATTATCTGATGTCTAGGTTGTTTTGCCATACTTTGATTATCATATTTAAGCTTATGAAGCCCTTTAAAATCGTGTTTTATTAGAGAATAGACCATATGCAAATGACTCATTAGTATTCGTGTTTTTAGACCAATCCTGTGTGTCCTCAGCTGAGTGTGCTTTCAGTCAGGTTTAATCCTTTATATCTCAGCCGTTTTTTCATGTTTTGGTTTACTTTTTTCGGCATTTTAATCGGTATGTTGTGTAGAATAAGTGTTGAGCAAATAAACTGTCATTACTGATCAAAAATATTTCTGTGAGGTTACCGTTTATGAGGAGTACAGCTGATTTAGTGTGGTAATTCACAATCTGTGTATACAGATTAATGACTACATTCTGGCAAACTGATTCATGCAGTTTATTGGAGCTGATAGTGCTGAAGTCGTCATGTCAATGATATGATAACACATACACATCACAGTTGTGTGTTTTGACTAGCATGATGTAACAGTGTACAAACAGTATACATAATAAAATAGAGAAACAGATATTGCAGAAACAGACCAGCAGCAAAAATTTAAGATCAGCCTGGCAAGGTGTGAACACAATGGCTGGGAGTAAAGAAGATAGAGCGGGCATTGAAACCAATTTAAATGGTTTTAGTTCTGTGAGAGAGTTTACTGAGGAATTAAATACGTTTTACTTAAGGTTTGATGAGGGTGATTTTAAGTCAGAAAATGACATTTTAGAACAACATCTGTCATGTAGTAAATCCGTAAACATTAGTAGGACTCAGGTCAAAGACCTCTTTCAGAGAATTAATACTAAAAAAAAGCCCGGGCCCAGATAATATTGGTGGTAGGGTGCTGCATACATGTGCTGAACAACTTTCTGAAATATTTCATTGCATTTTTTCAGTCTCTTATATGTTGCAATACTCTCAGTTCATCGTGGACTTGAACACAGACACTTATCCTCCACAATAGCGGCACACAATGGTGTTTGTTTGTTTGTTTAGTTTTTTTTTTTTCTTCTTGATTTTGCAGGACAAGACCGGCAGCTGTGGTTGCCATTAAGCAGATTCACTAAAGGAAAGAAAAACACAAGTTACAGCCAAAACCAAAGATGACATCAACTGAAAATAAAACTCTAGATAAAAATAATAGTGCTAAATATTTAGACAATATAAATGTTCTTTTTGAAGATCTCAGCAGAGATCATTAAACAACTTAAATCAGTGGAGCTTCACTCATTACTGAGCTCGGACTTTTCTGTCATGTGGACAAAACTCTTCATGGAGTTGCTGTTGTTCAGTTGGTCACCATGATGGAGGTCAGCGTCTGCTTTAGTTGGCTTCTTCAGCTGCTTATTTTAACACTAGATTTATTTAGGTAGCCAAAAATAATTGTGTTGATCAAACAATTTGTATGGCATGAGAAGCCTAAAGGAAATTTAAGAATAAATGTAATCAAGTTATTAAATTCACCTTTAATTATATAGTCCTTTTACAACGTAGATTGGGTCAAAGCTTCACATAAAAGATCATCTTATCAAGAATCAGACTTTCAATTACAACAATGGTGACAAACAAAAACAAAAGAAAATCAACCCAGAACAACACAAAACACTCTACTGAAATATAACAGCCAAGAACAGCACACAATAAAGGCAAAGAAAGACATTTCAAAAACTTTAAGCGGCTTATTTTATTTATGCAGCAATGCATGCTGGGAGGTTCGTACTATGTACCCAGCATGCATTGTGGCATGGATGAATCATGCAGCTTTTTAATTTTAGTAACCGTGATTAAGGTTCATATCTTGATTCTTGATGTCTTTGTGTCTTAAAGGGTCAAGACAACCCCCACTTTTGGTTAAAGTCTACTTCAGAATTGTTTCAAAAGATGCATGATTAATGGGCGTGGAGCTCCGCGAGCACAGGGCAGGAGTGGGCGTGGCCAGCAGGGGAGAAGGGGAGCGAACAACTGTTGTTGACAGTTAGCTCACAAAATGAGACAAACCGCGAGGAGACGCATGAGTTTATAGTTCTCAAAGTTAAAATGCAAAGGAATAAACAGTAATTGAATGCCCTGCTACATTTATTATTTGTAATTTCATATACACATAACCACAATTTATATCATTATGAAGATAAGTGTGTTCATGTAAACCCTATAAATGAGGATTCTCCCTCGATCACCGGGTCTAAATATAGATCTGAATGCAGACTCAGTGCAGCAGGTCTCCTGACCTGTCTATTTTAACCATTAGCCCTGCTGGTAATATAGAGGATTTAGGCAAACACAGCAGCACAGTGATGTGTCTGAATGTGAACGAACTCCTGATAAAAGTCATGTCTGCCATTCTCCAATTCTCGTACTGCTCTCCCGACAAAAATGCTTGTAGCACACACACAGCTTTGCTGTATCAGCCCTGACAAGATCGCGGGGAAAAAAACATGCAACAAACCCCGTGGATCATGGAAACAAACACATAGGAGCCTTCATGAACGGCTACTGCGTGCCGTGGGTTCGTGTCTCACAGCTTGCTTGAAACTGGCAGGTCTGCCTTCAGAAAGCACGTGCACTCATGAATAATTAAGCAGCCGGCTCTTCTCATAGGATAAGAAAATTCCGCTATGAATAATAATGAGAAACCGACGCGTCATCATTGCACTTGCAGTACTGCGCTACGTCGCCAATTTCGATCCGCCCCAAAAATCATTTTAAACCCGGAAGCTGAAATTAGATGACAAAAGCTCGAAATTATCCAGTTTTCCCCACAATTAAAGCTGACAGGTGCTAACATCGTCTTAACTGATGCTCAACACACACACATCTGTTAATATAAAAAAAAGTTCTCCAGGGTGTCCTGAACCTTTAAATGTGCTTCTTGAGCTCTCAAGGTTTTGTGTATGAAACTATATTAATTAATTTTAATTAATTCTTGTTTGTTGACTCTCCATGGGAAACTTTCTTAATGCCCCAAACCACGTCACATAAACCTGCAATTGTTTTATTTAAGTTATGGATCACTAGCGGTTATAACTGTAACAATTATTTACATAAAGCTTCTCATTGTCTTTATTGCCATAGCTGATGAGTTTCAGAAACAATAAGATAGAAGAGTGAAGGATCAAGAGCCCAACTAAAGCAGCCTCTGATCTCCAGGATGGTGAGGTCAAACTGAAAATCAATAAAGAAATAAAAGCGCTGTTCATTATCAAATGTTTTTCAGTGGAGCTGCTGATGCTGTTTGTGGAGGTGTTTAAATCAGTTGCTTTGGTGTGAGGCTGTTGCTGTATGTGTTTATTTCTCATTCTCTCCTTCTGTGATTGTGCTCTTTAACATCATTTCAGAACTGTTCCGAGACCTGGCGAGTCTGCATTTGACTGACTGGGTCAGAAGCACTTCTGTCTTACATAGCCTAGTGGACCGTGCATGTGCATGCTGTTACTGTGCTTCAAATGGCTTTTGGGTTTGAATCCTGCTTTGTACAAATGCTCCAAAATCAGGATTTTCTTTATTTTAATAATGCTACTGTGTTATGATGTAGTTTAGATAGGATACAGCTGCGGATACACCATCAATACAGCATCATTTGTGTAACACTGTATAGCAATAATTCATATTTTTACAGTACTGTGACGGTTGGGTTTAGCGTTTGAGTAGACAGTATTAAAATACAATAAATGAGGAATTTCAATAATAGTATAAATAAGTCTTGTCAACTTCTGACCACAACCATGTCTGATCTAGAAACAACCCTGTTTTATGACCAAAACAAGACATATTTATTCACAAATAGTGTTTATTCTGATGTCTGACCAATGTTGAAACAAAACAATACAAGAACAGAGCATTTCAACATAGCTGCATTTGCCTGGATTCAAACCCAGTAACCCTGCATAATAGTCAGGAACTCTGACCGCTCTGCTATAACACTTGTAGGTTCAAAGGTACAAAGTGGGTTTTAATACCTCAATTTGCTCAATTGTTTTTTGCTGAAGCTGTTCCAGAGCAATGTATAAAAATTACCCCTAGGTGTCACTGTAGAGTTTCGAAACGTTTCAAAGCTTTGACACATTTGCTTCAACTGTTTCAGTTTCATGAAGCGTCACTTTGCCCACCACTACTGTTAAATGAAGCGAGGAGAGCAAGCTGAAGCAGGATTTCTACATCTGAAACACACATCATACAGGTCAGTCAGAAGCAGAACAGAACAGTTTACATGCAAACTCTAATTCAACACACCTGAAGCAGCTAATCAAGACATTACTATGACAGCTGACCGGGAATAAACTCAACAGAAAACACCAGTGACAGACAGAAGATCCATTAGAGAAGACTGATAACATGAACAGGAATACTTCACTCAGGTCTGGTGAAAGCAAAGACTCCTTCATTAATGAAATCACTCAACACAAGATATCCAGATTAAAGCAAAGCAGAGGTGTGTTTCACCTGTAGGGTTTCCATGCTCAGCATCACACTCCACCGCAGATACACTCTGCAGGATTACACTGACCTGCACCGCAATCACAGCCTCTCTGAAAGCACACAGTCAGATCAGAACTCTGCCTTGAAGAGTCCAGAGGAAAAGGAAATTCAGTCTCTGACCCACAACTCACAGTAGGGGGCGGTAATGCTCTGTTTAAGAATGCAAACCGCCAATAAGACAAGAAGAAGAGCTCCACCTGCTGTTTCACCCACCTGTGTGTTTCTCCTCCAGTGTTTGCTCAGTGGTTCACCTGTCCGTGTGTTCTCTCCTGCTCCTCTCGGCCGGTCAGCATCACCAGGTAAGCAGAAAGGGTTCCTCCACTATTATAGATCTGCTTGATGGTGTCTGAGACAGATTAAACACATAGCTGTGGTGAATTCACCATCATTTCTCTAACACTCAGCCAACAAACAGGCCGTGAGTTACAGCTGATCACTCGCTTCACTGATCTGATCTGTAGATGAGCTGATGGAGAGAATGTGGGGATTTTATTCTTGTGCTTGTCTTCTTGCTCAGCTGTGATATTGCACTAGACAGATGCTGCTTTATCTTTAACATGTTCTCAGACAAATATAAGAGTTACAGTATAAACACAAGCCTCCACAAACTAATAACCTCATTAAAGACTAATCAACAAAACTCCACATCATTTGCACAGGCAATCATTTACACAAGATCAACAGACACTGGTCTTACTGAGAGCTGGAAACAGCAGGGTTTCTGAAGGGTTTAAGATGAGGCGTTTTCAACAACTTTCTTCTTCTGTTTACTGGTGTTTGGCAAACAGTGTAAAGGTGCAGATTCTGCCACCTACTGGACTGGAGGGTGGAGTGCAGCTGAGTTGAGGACTGGAGAGACGGGGAGGTCTAATCTGTTTCATCTCTTCTGCTCTTTCATATATGTAATCATTGTCATTTTGCTTTTTGCTTTTCTGCAATGTAACAGTGAAAGGGTTTTCCCACCCCAATCTTTAGTGACTGAAACTGCTGGAATATTTGTTGTTGACATTACACTAATATACGTGAGAGTGTTTCAGTCCACAATAACAGCTTTCATTTGTGTTTCCTCATTTTGTATGAAGTTCAGGATAAGTTTGAATGGACATTTTCTTTCCAACACACATTTATCTGCATTTCATATAGACGTCATGCCACTTTATAACCTGCATGTTTTGCCAAATTTTCATCTCATAGCTGATCAGTCCCTTTTTATCTGCTTTAGAGAATAAAGACCTATCAGACACATCCTAAAGCCACATCTGACTCCTTAATCGTCTCTTTCACTAAATACTCTGCTGTCTCTTTCTGTTAGCACAACATGCCATAAACTGACCTTCCCACATCTGTGTGATGTACATTAATGGAAATAGTTCATGTAAAGGTCAGGAAATATTGGGGTTTAATTTGATATGCCTAACCCATTTATTTACTACTTTGTGCAGAATTGATTGAGTGTTTTAATATCGTCAACCAAAATAAATTTAATGACAGTATTTATGGCTTGCACTGTGCAACATCACGGGATCTTTGTGATTATTTTGATGATGTGTTGCTTTAATTAGTATTGGTCATTCCCAATAATATTCATATATATGTATGTATGTGTGTGTATATATATATATATATATATATATATATATATATATATATATATATATATATATATATATACACACATACATACATA